GCTTTAATAAATATGCAACTCGTCAATTTTGATACTACCCGGTTGGAATATTATTCTACCTAGACTTGTGTTTTTATTCGATTATTTGAGCAAAGAATCAGTTAACTAAGTCAGTTATGGATTAATCAAAGTAATCACTACTCGAATAGTTTGAAAACAAAATTATTTAACTAGCTGCTCTGGGTATGTGAAATGCCGCTGGATAAACTTGTTTCTACCAAGATTTTTTAATTAATGAAATCATTTTTGAAGGGAAACCCTTTAGATACCTTGGGAGACGTTTGCATTAAATATTTAGTGCCAAGGTGAAGGGGGAAGAAATGAAAGTAAATATGGTGAACGCGGGTAGAGAGGAAGCGTCCACTGCACTACGTTCTTGGGTTTTGTTCATAATATGGCATACCTGGTATTATAAACATTTCTGTGCGAAAATCTGAAGTCCTTTGTGAACCAGCTGATTGGATAACAGTGTAAGTTTACCATAAGCCACATTTTTACTATGAATCAAATCCTAGAAAAGAATATAGGTACGAAAGAATCTGCATCCATGAAGCAATGACTTAACTTGGTGTCCCCGCAAAACTAATACGACTATGTAAGTTGACTTTTAAGCGCACATCCGTTCGAATTGGAGAGGATCCCTCAGTGCTATTTGAGACCAAACGGGGTTATAGACAAGGCGACCTACTGCCATGTGACTTCTTCAAGCTGATGCAAGAATGGAGTAAAATGCAAGCTGAATTCCAGTAGTATCATATCGACGTCTGAGGGAAAGATCGTCTTATCTCAAAAAAAGGTTGAAAAAAACCAGATTTCAGAATTTGGTTTAAGAACGCGCTATCTCAGCAAATGGTGAAAAAACACCCCATCTCAGATGGAGATATATTGAATTTATATTGAGATAGAGCGTTTTCGAATCGGCAACCTAGAAAGAGTTTTCGTATATAGGGACACACGGGACTATTGGTAGTTACATTTTTTAACTAGGGAAAGACTTCGTCTACACATGAGCCAGCAGCCTGAAGATCAAGCGAAGAATAACTCTTGCCAACAGGTGCTACTTAGGGATCTGTAGGCCACTGACAAGCAAAGAATTTTCGACCGCTTTTAGAAAAAAAACTTGTCTCGATATTGAGCCAACCAAGAATCGAATCTGGAACATGCCGGGTGATAGTTCGGCACCTTTAGCCTCTAGAACACGGCGCACAGTGGGAAGTCACCATATACATACATAAGCTAGGGTGAAATAGTAGTAACTGCACTCAAAATCTTTTGAGATTTCGCATATCTTCTATTTTTCACTTAGGAATAAAGAAATGTGGATAATGGCAATGCATACATACATAAATCTGAGTTTCTCACTAACACATGCACCTCGCCAAAATTGCAATATTTGAGTACTAGATTATATATATGGTATGTATTTGCTAGGAGGAAAGAGAACGGATCTCGTTCAATGGCAATGCGTGTACCTTTGGCTAAATGATGCATCGGAATAACAGATTTGCATAAATGCAAACCCCTAATGCATTACTCTTTTATATACATTAGACGGCATCACCAAAAAAAAGTTGCGGTTTTTCCGTCGGGATTACAAAATGTATTATATTTTAAGACGTCCACTAAAATATTTCGGAAAAATATTAAGATTTAAGCGAGCTGGACCGATTTAAAATTACCTCCACAAATGAAGTTTTTTATGAATAAAAATAGTTTCTTAAAGAACTTTTTGAAAAAAGTCCCCTCAGATGACAAATTGGAATAAGCTTAAAAAATCTGCATAAAAATATTTAAAAATCTTTTCAACGGAATCGTAAGAATGAGATTTTTGATGCTGTTTTTTTACTTTTTTCAAAGATTGATTTACGAAAAACTTGAATAACTGGGCCAAAACTGTTCTGATTTAGACTTATGGGATCTCAGTAGAAAGGTATTTTCACACCGTTTTTATTTCTGGCCAAAAGAAACGTCATTCGTGTCCCATCTTTTTTTTTCGAATACCAAAACATCTTAATTCAACTTTGAATGAGGTTCGTTTCTCCTACCTTTCTCTTCAATCCTTTGAATAAGTTTATTAGCAAATAAATGAAAAGGGTGAGAAAATACCTTTCCAATGACACCTCTTAAGTCTAAATCGAAAGAGTTTAGGTTCAGTTATTCAAGTTTTTCTTATACCAATCTTTGAAAAAAGTTAAAAGACAGCATCAAAAATCTCATCATTGCGATTCCGCTCAAATTTTTGTTTTAATTTTTTTTTAATATTTTTATGCAAATTTTTTAAGCTTAAACCGTTTTGTCATTTAAGGGGATTTAAAAAAAAAATTAAGAAACTATTTTTATTCATAAAAAACTACATTTTTGGAGGTATTTTGAAATTGGTCCAGCTCACTTAAATCTTAATATTTTTTCGAAATATTTTGGTGGACGTCTTAAAATATAATAGATTTTATAATTCCAATGGAAAAATAGTACCGATTATTTTTTGTATGGGGAGTGATGCAGTCTAATATACATATATTTTAAGTGAAAACAGTTTAAAGAACTTGCAACAAAATCTACATTTTTTCTACAAAATTTTATTTAATTTTCATTGCATTTACTTAGAACTCGTGCCGTGGAATTCTTTTTTTTTAATATTTTATATTTAGTTAGTTCGATATCCTGCAATGAATCTGCGTAATTGTTTCTTCAGAACTAATAAGTCCGTTTTTCTATTTTTGACTTCTGCAGTCCATTGCGCAGCGGTCGCACTAAATATATCGTCGAGTAACATTCAATTCAATTTGAATACTTCTTATGGAATCATCCTTCTTACTGGGATGTTTATAAGTTGCAAAACTCCGCCGTCGCACACACACCACGCATCAGACGCTGGAAATCATCGAAAACACTTCAAAGTTAACTCTCCCACTTTTATGGACGTGGCAACAATTTCAATTATTCAACGCTTTATTTGCGCCAATAACATAAAATATGGGTGTTAAAAGAGGGTGTTTCATTTAACTGGGAGTGGTTGTTGGAAAACTTTTGTCATTTCAAGTGACATAATGAAACTTTTAACTGAAACGAATGGCTGATGGAAAACGATGAAGGATGAAGTGGAAATAAGGCGCAGACGATGGTCAAGCTATAACTTTACGTGGCATAGACCGTAACTTACTTCAGCGCATACATAAATTCTAAGTATGTCCTACATGTAGAGTGCTTCCTTATGTATGTATGTATGTATGTATGTATGTATGTATGTATTAGGGTACAGTTAATAATCTTTGGAAAAAGTTTGAGTAACTACCACAAATCGGTTCAATCAGCGTCGATTGTCTGACACATTCGCTTTCCGCTTATCGGAGCGAAACAAAGCGCCCCAAACAGAAAAGGCTCGGAGTAAGGTTACGATCAGCCCATACTAGTACGGATGTCCGAAACAGTGGCGACAGCAAACTACTAAAACTATTGCATGTTAAGGTTACATAAACACCAGACTTACATACATTACATACTTAAGCAATCAAGTACGTTTGTATGTAGCAGTATACATAAATAACTGCTAAAAGGCTTCAAAAAAAGCTTTGATACAAATTTTAATGGTAACTCCCTGAGCTAAAAGGCGACACATTTAATGCGCTGTTATTTAGTCGATTACAAAAAAAAAGTATGTTTTATTAAGCGAAATATAATTACCGAAAAAAATTTATCCACATGTGTTTTCCGTTAAATATTCAAAAAATATATATACAGCGGCGAATGACGTAAAAATATTAATTGCGTGTCTATGGCTTCGTTTAAGAAATTGCACTGTATCACGCCACCGACAAAAGCAACAACTTCTGTGTCCCAAAATGTCGGTTCTCCCTCATTTTCATACACACACACACACACCATCACAAAGTGTTAACTGGCACAATTTGTGCTTTGCATGTACAGGAAAGAAGAAGGATATTGACAGGCGTTTAGGCTTGACAGCTTAGGAGCTTAAGCGCGGCGAATATGTCATCATGGGCTGCCGAAAACTTTGTGGGTCGAAAAGTTTATTTTATGCGCTAATTTATTTAGTTTGGTTGTTAAGTTAGTTTTTCTCTGCTTTTGTTTTTGTTTTTGTTTATTAGAGGCTTTCTGTTTCGATTGCCACGCAAGGCGAGAAAGGATAAAAAGTTAACTGATGCGGTTGTAATTAAAAAAAGGATAGAACAAAGAAGGTCAGTACAAAAAGCCAATAACAGCAGGAGTTAATGAAGGTTGGACGAAGAACACTGGTAAACATTTGTTTTCATTTGTTGCAAATCCCTAAAATATGATGCGGAAAATGGCAGGGGGCATTTATTATTCATTTATAAAATTTCATTAAATTATTAAGGCGCAAAGAGCTTAGAAAAAGTTGTTGTAGGTTCTATTAATTTCTTGAAAATTGTTGTCAATGGTCAGTTTGTTATTCGCTATATTCGAGCCTAAATTCGTATGAATTGCAGTTTTAAACTTTGTAAAATAATTAAAGTTTAAAAGATGCGTCGTCATTGAAATTGGAAGGAAGCTCTGGCCATTAAAAAATAACTTGAAACTGGACATTAGAGTGGCTGTGTCGTACGTGACGTACACACCCCTTAGTTCCACACATACATAGCTAAGTGATCATCCTCAAATGGGGAGATAAGTTTTATCATTATGATGCAGCGGACAGAAGACCGATAGCAGCCACGAAGACTAGGGACTTACTTACTTACTTACTGCATTACTTGAAGGGGGGTCTCGTGGAAAGTGGAGGGACATACAGTTTTACACCGCCTTCGAACTGCAAATGGTTTTAGGAGAAGTTTTTTTTCGTGGCAGAAATACATTCACGATTTCCAAAAATCATGTTACATTTCAGAAACTATTTCTTTAGTTCATATATTACACAGTTCGGTTTTTTCAACTCCATTCAATTACTGTAATATAGAGTTTGCTTTTGTGCCCTTTAAACTTTCATTCCAATCTGATTTAAAATTATAAATTTAAATAAAATATCAGTCCAACCGCATGAAACCCATGCTTTTATGAAACACGAATATGATGAGGAGATATAATCTATATTGGTTCCAACGAAAAAATCACTTGGA